AGATACCATACAAAGGGACAGTAAATCGGAGACAACTTGATATGCAGCAGTAGGAAGATTAGTGATACCTGCACTTGCAGTTGAGGGCTAGAAACAAGCAGTATCTTAATAGGAGAGGGTTCTAACTAGCCTTCTCCCATCATCAGGACAGTCCATATTTCTGTGTTCAACTCCAGATTGTCCAATGTCTTAACATCCCACTGAAAACACAAAAGACATGAGTTCTCTGTGTGTTATCTGTGAGTTTCAGCTCTTGCAGATACATCCTGAACTTCCCACTCAACCATCACCAGAGCAGCTACTGGGTGGCCTTGTTCACAGGACCACTGAGGCTGCAAGGAGCCTCTGGAGGTCTCTAAAAAAAGTCCCCTGCCCAAAGCAGAGTCAGCAACATGGTAAAGTTCACTTGTGTCTCCAAAAGCACTGTCTGTCCAGTCACCAAACAGAAAGAAGGCAAAAATCTGTATATTTCTATGGATATCCCTATTTTTTGTGTCAACTGTCTGATAGCTCAGCTAGTGAAAGGGCATTTATTTCCCGAGAAATAGTTATTAAAGATGGAAATAACAAATACAGGAAGGAAGACAGTGAATTCAAGCCGAGTTCACTTGAGCACACATGTAGTTCAAATACTAGAGATGAGAGATGATATTGAGGCTTAGTCCCTCAGATGGCTCCATTTAAATTAATGGAGGCTCATCACTTTACACAGGGAATGTGTGTGTGTGGCAGTGTGTGTGTGTGTGTGTGTATAATATGCTTACACAACTAGATTCTCTCTCAAAAACATACTGCTGGCATCAACAGTAGTCCCAGTTTATCATCTTTCAAAACAAAGTCATAAATTCTCTTTTTAAGAAAAACCTAACCACTCCTTTAAGAGCCCAGGTCCAGATCAGCTTGGCCTACAAGTCTGTAACAAATAAACTGCTTTTTAAATAGAGGCATATTCCTCAAAAGAGGTTTTTTGCTTAGATAACTAAGACAAATGTCCCATTTAAATGTTAATTAAGCTACACAATTCCCATACACATTAAAATTACAAAAACACGTGCTTCACAGTGCACTCAGCAATAAATCTTACAATTAAGAAAGGGGAGATCACATCTCTCAAAGATGCTTTTACAGAGTTTTACTACTCCTTACATAGAGAGAATGGAGCAGCTGGATACTGCACACCTCGAGCCAGATCCCAACTCTCCTATAGCCCAGGGCTGCTACGATATAGAGCACTAGCTGAACTACGGTGACTAGTTGAATTACAATGACTGGAAGTGTCAGACATTTTCTGCAATGAACCAATTTGAACAAGATTTGAAAATATACTCAAGGCTACACCATGCAGACTAGTCAACAATAGTGTCTTTAAATTTGACTTCCAGTCTTCTGCTCTGTATCGGGTTTGAAAGGCAAGGTTTTGGTAGCAGGAGGCTACAGGGGTGGTTTCTGTGAGAAGCTGCTACAAGCTTCCCCCATGTGCGACAGAGACAATGCCAGCAGCTCCACGTGGGACCCACCATTGGCCAAGGCCAAGCCCATCAGTGATGGTGGTAGTGCCTTTGGGATAACATATCAAAGAAGATGAAAAAGAAACCTGCTGCACGACAGCACCCAAAGAGAGAAGTGAGAATACCTGAGAGAAACAACTCTTCAGACACCAAGATCAGTGAAGAAAGAGGGGGAGGAGGTGCTCCAAGTGCCACAGCAGAGATTCTCCTGCAGCCCCTGGTGAAGATCATGGTGAGGAAGGTTGTCACCCTGCAGCCCACAGAGGTCCATGGTAGAGCAGATATCCACCTACAGCCCGTGGAGGACCCCGTGCTGGAGCAGGTAGATGCCCAAAAGATGCTGTGACAACATGGGAAGCCCATGTTGGAGCAGCCTCCTGTTAGTACCTGTGGCCCTTGATGGAGAGAGGAGCCCATCCTGGAGTAGGTTTGCTGGCAGGACTTATGACCCCATGGGAGACCCGTGCTGGAGTAGTCTTTTCCTGAAGGACTGCAGACCATGGAAGGAACCCATGTCGGAGCAGTTCACAAAGAACTGCAGGCCATGGGAAAGACCCACACTGGAGAAGTTCATGTAGGACTATCCCATGTGGGAGGGTCCCCATACTGGAGCAGGGGAAGAGTGTGAGGAGTCGTCCCACAAAAGGAGGAAGGTGCAGCAGAGACAATGTGTGATTAACTGACCGCAATCTCCATTCCCCATCCCCCTGTGCTGCTGGGTGGGAGACAGTGGAGAATTTGGGAGTAAAGTTGAGCCCAGAAAGAAGGGAGGGATGGTGGAAGGTGTTTTAAGATTTAGTTTTTATTTCTCATTATCCTACTCTGAGTTGATTAGTAATAAATTAAATTAAATTTTCCCCAAGTCCAATCTGTCTTGCCCAAGGCAGTAATTGGTGAGTGATCTCCCTGTCCTTATCGCAATCCACAAGCTTTTCATTATATTTTATCTCCCCTGGCCAGCTGAGGAAGAAGAGTGATAGTTCAACCCACATGTTGTCCTCCCAAATCTTCCATCTACAGTTTGTTGTAACCAATTAAGCCATACTATAGGCTTGCAGAACCTAAATTTTTTAAAAAAGATTGTTATGATGAACACACTCCATTAATACTTTCTTGTTCAGGCTTTCCCCAGCTGATCCACTGGCTGAGGATCAATAGTGTTGTCAAAATAACACAAAGGATTTGCCTCTTGTCTGTGTTTTCCTTACTTGCTTTTAATTTCATCCCTCTTTCCAGCTGTCTCTTGCTGCTGTGACTACTATTGACTTCAGTACTGCACCAGCAGTACTACCCTGTGAATCTTCAAATAACTTTTGTAACTTCCTCAAATGAATTCTGTAAATTTAACCTCTCTCAGGATTGTATCCTAGATGTGTAAAATGTGTAATATGATTTGGAGAAAAATAAAATAAAATAAAAAATCCTTCCTTCTTCCCTGCAAAACAGCTTCAGCGCAGTTACTGGAGTTGCCAGACAGGGAGAGAGCACTGGGTGTTTCACTGAACAAGAAAGCTGCAATCTCCACGGTCACAGTGTGGCTCACACCCTTCTATGACAAGGGGAACGTCTGAACTTCAGCACAACACTTTCTCACATCTCTGGCTTCTCTCTTCCCTTTCAGTGCACCTCCTGATACACCAAATGCAGCTGTAAGAGAAATACTTTTGCCTATTGTAAATAAAATTGGGGGTTTTTTTGGTGTTTTGTTTTTTTTTTTTAATCTATCTTGGTTTTGTGATCATATCTACTATATGATCTAGGTAGATCATATCTACTATATGGTAATAACAACTATAGATCATATCTAAGATACTTCTACCTAAATCATATAGTACAAACACATAAATTTAAGTCTATCCAGAGAACTGCATTGGAAGAGAGTGCTTTAATCTTCACTAGATCATGTATAACTTTTGTTTACATGTGTGATATATTCAAAGCAATGATTATGTAAAGCACCACTATTCTTACAATGTTTGGATCCTTGTCCTAAATAATTGTATGCTATGATCACAGACTGATGCTTGTCATCCTTCGGATACTGAAGATGAGGAAGCCACTTGCAGTATTACCACAGATTTACATTATAGCCTGGACTTGGTGACAGTGAAGGCACTGGAGATGTCCCACAGCACCTCTGCATCATAACAGAAGAGTTCTCTTCTGTTTCAATATACAAATACACAAGTTGCCTTTGAATGGTCTACTTGATCTTAAAGAATTGGTTTTTCCAAGAAAACAGCTAAATATTTTATTTCTTTTAATTGTCAAGAAAGTTTACATTTTACTTCCTTTTGTTAAATTAGCTGCATCTTATCAATTTTGTCTACCATCTCAGGCACACCAACCATGAAATTCATATCCCCCTGAATTCAGTCATCGTTTAACACAGAAACAGGTTTGATAAGCAGTCAGTATTTTCTCCGTACAAGTTAACAAACATGAAAATACAAAGATGAGCACAAAGGTCTCATATAACAGAGGGTTTGCCCAGTTTTCAAAAGATTTCAGCTCCAGGAGGCTGATCCTTCCTATAGTAAGCAATACTGGAGATGGGCCTTCAGCTCCACCTCTCCAAGCAGTATGTCTGAAAAATACGTTAAATGCTTAAGCTCCTAATGCATTTCCAAATATCCTTACTACTCCCTTAACTATCTAAAGCACATGAAATTTCCAGCAGTTCCATTTCCATTTTTTGGATCTTAGCTAGATTTAAAAAAAACAAAACAAAACACCCCCCCCAAAAAAAAAAAAAAATCAGAGTCTATTATTCCACATACTAACTTCAAAGTACACATTTGCAGAAATAATTTAGAAATAATTAAACATTAAAAATCCACAGGAAGCAAAGGAGAAATTATTAAATACTTAAAAAAAAAAATTGGTTGCTTATTTTCTCTCTACTGTTTATGAGAAAATCTGAGCTTCCTGTCAGGTTTCAGCTTAGGAGGAATTCAGATCAGTACTTAAACTGAAATGTGTCTCTGGTAGATACAGACATTTCAACATTATATCGTCCTACTGAATGGGCAGTATGTCACATGAGGTGTACCATATCTTCATTATAAATGCGCTGTGCTGTAATGGCTAACAAGAAAAATTGTAAATTATCTACTTAAGCAAAAACAGCTAGTACATTAAGGGGATGACATGTTCTGATGAATCAAATAATTTTTCCTTCTCTTTCATTCCCGTCAAACTTCAAAGCAATCAAATCTTGTTTATGCATAAAATTTAATCCTTTCACCAATCTGTAGTTTGATTGAATTTGCATACTCTATTTCCTACAAGGCAATGTGAAGAGAGCCTCATGTAATTGAAACCATTTCCCCTCCAGTCCTCCTATCTTTGCTGTAATATTTTCTATTAGTAGCTCTATTATGTCTAATATCCATAATGTTGGCAGATTAGAATTCTTACTTAATGCAACCTGTATTTATAAACCACTAGGATGAAAAAAAAAGAACAAATACAAGAAAGAGGAAACAATAATTACCTGTCTTTGATGCCACACAGATCAATGTGTAAATCACTAAAATTCCCCAGGGAGCCTTGCTGAACTAAAATGAGGTCCTTGGGCTGGTTATCAATAAAGATGAGCCTCATACAGCCTTGAAAAGCAGTAATGGGATTTAAACATTGGGAATCGGTGAAATTGTCAGGGCACCCTGTGGGAAAAAGAGCAGAGGCAGAGAAGAATATTGGAATGTTCATTTATTTCTGCTGGGATTTCCTGATGCAAGAACTCAGGGGCTCATTATTCCAAGTGTTTTCATTCTTTGTGCTATGTTACCTTCTGTGTTATAGATCCTTCAGTGAGAAAAAGAAAATTTAATTAAAAAAAAAAAAATAGAGTAGCCACTGGACACATCAGAGTATGTGTTTTTTACATGTCTTAAACAAAATCAAAATGCGGTATTTTTCATCTTCTTTAAACTCCATAGCTGATAGCATCTGGCTCTCATAAAAAAGCTGTGCAAATTGTAAAATCATCATGGGTTAAATTCTGTTACTGAGGCAATCCACAGAGTAAAAGGATGAAATCCTGTGGACAGCACGCAAGAAAACCATTCGTATCTAAGGTTCCTCAGCATTTGGCCAGCTCTGAGATCCAAAGCCTCCTGTGCATCCTAACGTAGTGCTATATCCAGAAGGTTCATTGAGATCAGAGCCTCACTGCAGTAAGCACTATACAGAAATATATTAGATAAAAAGACAGCTGATGACACTCCCTTTATCTAAATTAATGCTTCCACTCTAAAAAACAGAAGGTAGTATTTTTCAAGACTGCTCTTTCCATTTTCAAAATTGAGCTAAACCTACATTAATTTCCATGAGAGTACAGTACTTAAATGCCTTTGTAGATCTGAACCATATGTCAATTAAGCTCTTAAGTCTAAAGTCACTGAGCCTGATCAGGACAGTGATATCTACAGGAATATTAAAATACTAATAGTTCTTAGGCCTTTTAACTAGAAAAAACACTTGTGGCTAATACAGCTATGTAGCTTTTGCATGTTTGGCCATCTAGATATAGGTACCCATTGGCTACCACTACCAAAAGTAGTCTACTTTTACAGCTGTGTTAGCAGTTCTGCTTATTCTCCCTCTGTCAGGGTTGACCAAGACCATTCAATCTTCCCACAGTGTTGGAACTCCACAGGAGGTCTAAAATCAGTTATTACAACATTTGCTCTTAGCTGCAAACAGATTGCACCTGGGAAGACCTCAGCCGTGAGCATCTAGGGATCTGCATCATGAAAACCTGTCCTGCATCTGTCTCAACCAACCAACCTCCAAAATAGTAGCTGTTCCCAGAGTAGATCCTTGAGACAGTTGTTGCATGGCTAGCAGTGGCAGCATTGTTATCCAGTGTCAGGGTAATGCGATGTCTTCTGGCATTGATGTTAATAGAATGCCAAAGCCCATCATGGAGATTGGTGCCTGGTAAAAAAAAAAAAAAAAAAAAAAAGTACAAAGAGTGAAAAAGACGTGCAGGAGAAAACTGTGATCTTCAAACCTCCTTTTGCTTCCAACTTGTGACCACAAATGTGCAGCTGACCCCAAAACAGGGAGAACTGGCAGCTGAAAATACTTCATTACCTCTGGAAACAAATTGGCACAGAAGAAAGGGCCCAAGAAAGATAAAGCTTTTAAGAGTATCTGAGTAGGTCATCTTACATTTTAATCTAATCTGTTTGGGGTACTGCAGGTACTCAGCAAGCTAGGAGGGTCCTTTGCCTTTCCAGTAACACATTATTCCAACTTTATGGGTGTTTATGTCTTATTTTCATTCTGTTAAAATTGCTTATAGCTCACAGAAGCTTGACAAGATCTCTGTTGAGATTCTGATACTAAACACATGCCGGAGATTGCAAAGGATTAAATTCAGGTGAGATGGTCGTACCCTGTCTCAGGTGACAATATGAAACCTGACAAACTCCAGCAGGTACCAGTAGGATTTGTGTTTCTTAAAACCTTTCAGCACTAAGTTAACACACACTCTTGTTGATGGATGTACCAAAGCCTTTCTATATTGGATTTCAACATAGGTCTTTTCAGACCTGGGATTGTTGCTCTGATCAGGAACCTGTGAAGGTACATGAGAGATTATGCTACTGGGTAGCTTCTTTCTCTTCTATATATTCGTGCAAAGTGAGAACCTCTCTGTTTCCTTACCCCATTTCCTTACTCTGAAAATCAGTGTTGCATCTCATCGCTCTTGAAACAGCACCATACAGCTACAAAGAAACTTCACATCCTCTGTTCTAACAGCCTTGAAAATCAGTGGGCAAGCTTCTGAGCTCACACACAGTGGTGCATATCAAAAGTAACCCAATTACAGTTCGAAATACGTGGCCATCAGGCTGGAGTCACCGAGACCGGGCACAAGCAATTAGTAGTTACTCCTCTAATGGAATATTTTTTGTTAATGTAGCTTTCAGAAGAAACAAACAAGCACTTAGTGACACAAAGGGGTGTGAGACCAGTTCAAAACAAAATAAAAAAAATTGTGGGTGTTATGTGTATGAAAGCCCATTTCATTATGAATTTGAGAATGAGACAATTTCCACAGTAACAGCTCTCAACGTATGCACAATTTCCACAGAATAAGAGCCTGGTTTCCCAGCAAAGATGTATAATTTTTCAACTAGAACAAGTCCATTTTGAAGTGAAATAAATTGTTGAAATTTGAAAACATGTCAGAACAAAATAGGTCCCATTTGGGGCAAAAATTGGTCCATTCTTGAGCAAGCATGAGATTATTGTGAGTACCTGACATCTGCAGAACATGGCACTTTCAATTTCTGCATATTTTCCATGTGTAAGCAGGCAGTTTAGCAATGTTTTGGATAGCATCAAAGGCTGGGCTCAGGTTCATGATTTCAGAACTACATAAAACCAAATACACCCAGTCAAATATTGACATTGACTCAGCTTTGTCAACAATTTAATTAGGACTGCAACAAAAGCTGGAAACTCAGTTTTCAGCATTCAGTTGCAGCAAACAAAGGCTGTAGCAATCTACATGAATAAGGAGAGATGCAGGGCTGCCTCATTTTCTATCATGAAGAGGAATGAAACACGCATACGGAACAGCTCTGCTTTGACAACTCTGGCAGATTTTATCTCTGCTTCTTTTAATAGACACATCTGCCCTCTTTTAGTCTGCACTGGGAATACTTTAATATTACATATTTTTAAACAGCTGCTCTTTTAGAAAATACTATGATTATTGTTTAGTTCCATCATTCTATTACTCATCCATCTTTGGAAACTCAGTATTCAACCTACGCAGAAAATGAATTTCCCAGTCTCCCACCTAGCACGGTTGTATTGCAGCAAGGGATGTGCAAAGGCCCTGGGCTAAGAACATCTCTGTTTGAGATGCCAGCATGGCTTATATAGGTCACACTGGGATGGCAGCTGGGCCACTCTGGTCTTGCCTCTGAAATTGTTTCCTTGTTGTCTCTGGGAGCCAATGCATAACTGTTCTAGTAAGTGTTTACAAGCCCTGAATTTTAAGTTAGAGGCAACCCCATTTCACCCTCTTGCATCTGCCAGCTGCACAAAGCAACTTGCAAACTGGCTAAAGAGGCCAATGAGGGAGTATGAGGAGAGGATGGTCACAGTGTGAGGATGGTCAGTTTCTCTTCTGAATGTAGTGTAAAGGGAGAGTGTAAAAGCTACAGTCAGAAGAAGAAAATCAGCTCTGAGGCTGCCTTAACTTGTGTTGGGGAACAGGGCAGCAGCTGAGCTGGCTCCCAGTTGACATCAGTACAATCCAAGGACAAGAAACAAGAAAGCCTTCTTGTGACCTGACTGAAGATTTAGCATGACTGTTTAAGCATACAGAGGCTGTCAGGTACACTGAGCCTGGAGATCTCAGGATGCCAGCTTTCCATGCTTAGACCTACCTCAAGCTGCACAGAGTCATTCTACCAATGGAAAGCAAGAGAAAATTTGAAAAGAGAAAGGAAGATTGGGTGCTTTCTTACTACACCATCCTTTCATCCAGTGGGGTTGGACCTTTGTATTTTAAAGGAGGACAGATGAGAGTAAACAGAAGTACCTTCACTGATTTCCACTGGGTTCTCTGTCTCTTTCTGAATAAGTAGTGTCAATTTCCCACTATGAAGGTAAACCAAGAGGGGTCCTGAGTTTTCAGACAATTTGGTGAACAGAAGTAAGCCATCTTTATTCCATGTTCGAAACTGGAAGCTGACAGACAAACCATCAATTTGAGGAGTGCCGGGTAGTAGCAAGTAGCTTCGACTGGCGCTCACAAAGGTGATAGGAACAATTTGTGGTTCTGAGCAGGAAAAGGTCACATTCCCCTGCAAATAACAAAAATCAAACTTAATCAACATGACAATTTTTTTTTTTTTTTTTTGTCAGACCAAAACATCTATAGTTAAATAAGCTTACCGGATGTCTAATAGCCCTCAATGCTGAAATACGTATTGTTATTCAGACACAAATATTTGGAACTCATTAGGAAATATATCTGTCTACTCTGGGAAAACAGATCTGACTTCAAAATTTAACTTTAACTCCAAATGGAGATGGGGCAAGAATCAAAAATCAAAACCTCAATTCTTAGAAGGATCTAAACATGTCCAAAAGTCCTATACCAAGACCCTGCCTGGATGCAGAAGGGCTCATTTGGTTGCCCACACAAACCATCTCCACATGACCATATCTCCCCTTTGTGTTTCCCAGCACCTCCCATTTCAAGCTCAAGTTTATCTTTATGTCAATAAAATAAAAATCATTTGTATCTATGTTGACTTCAAGAACCGACACTGAAGCACTAGCCAAGTCCACTTGAACCTTTGTGTGCTGTGGGATGTGATACAAATGTCCTGCACTAACTGCACTGCAAGCTGCAAGTGAAAAAACAAAGCATTCTCCAGTGCACTGGGATCCAATCAGACTAGATTTATTCTAAATATAAACCAAAATTCAGCCATTGATGACAGTAGTTTTTTGCCCATTTACACCAATGCCACATAACCTTAAAAGTAAAAGCTACCTAATCTACTTGAATCTATTAATGTAGTGAAACATGAGACAAATTTCCTGGGTTTATTTCAAATACTCAATATATAATTTCCAGTAGCAGTACTGGCTATGTTTTCTTTTATTCAGAGTGACATAGCCCTGTGCTACTCCAAGTAATAAAAGTCCATTTAATAATAATAACACAAATAATTAAAAATAATTATTCTGAAATTATTTAAAAATTAATAAGAAAACTCAAAGAAAAAGTCACTTGAATACAGAATTTATAGTGGGATGAAACAACAGGGAGATTTCCTGGCCAGTGATAGGTCTCATAGTTTCCAAGGGGCATTTTGAGGAATTATTAAAACATTACATACACAGCAAGCATGGTGAAATCCAACACCATTTCAGTGCCAAACTTAGTTGATTACCTCAGTCACCCAGCCCTGAAATCAATGGTGCTATTTGCACAGAAGAACAGCACATTTACTCAAAGCAGTCAGCAGAATCTGTACCAGCATGTATCAATGTGGTTTGTAGACGAATCGACTCCACTGTTTTGTTCAGTCATTGAAGATTATCCAACTAGGTCATTCAAGCCATGTAATAAAACCTTAACAATACATAAAGCCAGAACACATTTAAGAGTCACGTCTTTCAAAGCCACTCCAGGAGACTGTTGCAGCCAGTTTGCTTTGAACTAGGCTGCTTTGTAAAATACCAGCTGGAATCTGATAAAAACATTGGAGTGAAAGGTTTTCTCCTTGGCAGCGCTTCTCAACAGAGCTGGTACCACATTCTAACAGGATAATTATAATGAACAGCACTTGATGGATGTGCAGGAAGTTGCACAGTACTTGGGAAATTGCTCCCTGAAATCTCAGGCGGCTGATGGAACTGTTCCTTATCACTTTCAAATATATTTCTAGTTTTTATTTTAAAATGGAAAATAAATAAAGTGCCAGAAAGAGACTAAGTTATCATTGGATGAAACAACCTTTGATAGATATATATCTATATCAGGCTATTTACTTCTTCCCTGCGCTGTTAGGTGCAGAGTGCTACATACCAGATTTAGCAATGGCAAAAGGTGTCCATGGGTATATCACATTAGAATGAGTTTTGAGATATAATTCAGAGCTTATCCAAACTCACCTGAACATTAGTCAGGTGGGAAGTAGAACAGAAATTTGCTCTCAACCTTTTAAAAGTTTCTACTGCTTGCTGGGTTTTGCCTGCATAAGAGATACCACAGGCTTTTTTTTTGGTTTTGTTTTTTTTGTTTGTTTGTTTGTTATTGTTGTTATATTTCCACTTCCATTTTAAATCAAATTAATGACAAATTACACAAAACAAAGATAGTCAACTGCAGTGATATAAACAAGTATGGTTAACTTTCTCCAGAGCTTTTTAAAGGCTTAGACATTTAAAATGCCAATGATAAATTCTCTTTGGAATTTTAGACATTTACAGTGAACCAAGTAACTCCACGTAAAGTAATAAGACATTTACAGATCTTACACATACATAACACCAGAGCTTGGAGAAAAGTTCAAACATTATCTGAGTCTGCATTCAAGTATCTAATTTGCTTCACGGGCAGTGGGAGGCTGTAACAAAATCCAAGGCGGTAGAGGGGAAGAACTGCAACATTCAGATAGGATTTTTGCCTCAAAGGTCTTTTCAGATTTTACCTACGAGTAGAACAAGCTATGCCTAGACTGACTTAATGGTGCTGGAGAAGGTGAATACTAAGATGCAAAAACATGTTTGTAATGCACAGCAAACTTTCAGATGACCTTAAAATAAGTCAGTAAAGACCCCATGTAGTCGATATGCAAAGCACTGACTGATACATATGCATGCGCACAAATATAATGTCAATTTTCTGTCTGCTTTTGATATGAGGTTCTCGGCACATGTAACTAGTCCTAAACTCATGGATTGCTGCGACCTCTTGAAAAACACAGCAACACTCTAGTCATTCACACTAGCTAGTAATTCATGCCATCTGGGATCTGCACACAAGTCTTGTACTGGGACAGGAGCGGCAAAGAGCACTGACTGAACCCATGACCAATGCTTCAATGTATGGGCAGGACTTCTTGGGCACTTCTCCTTCCATGCTTAACCAGGTGAGGCTTTGGGCTCTGTAGCCTCTCCAGTGACTCCATTAAAGCAGAGCAGATGTGATTCCACCTGCCACAAGAACAAGCAGACAGGAAAGCATAAGGGTGGTGCTGCAATAGTCTGTGTACAAGAGATTAAAGTTACATTTGGGGGATAGCAAAGAGGCTTGTTTGCCTTTGGAGGGAGATGGTTCTTTTAACAAGGTATTTCTGTTACTCATAGTCAAGAATTGAGATCTCCATGATGTAAGGGGCAATAATTTTAGTAAGAGCTAAAAACTAGCCAGGACATTTGGGAAAAAAATGTTAAATAAACCAATTGATGCCATCGGAATGTAAATCAGTTCAACTGACTCATCTAGCAGGGAAAAATCTTCTTAAAGCAGCATTCCAGAGCAAAACTAGATGATTTAGTTAATACACATCAACAATAGCTGCTGACAACCTTACATTGTCCAACAGTTTACCTCCCTTGAGACAATGACATGAAAACTCAAAAAAGAAATACACAATAGTAACTTCAAAAAATTTTTGTCCACAGAAGTGTGATAGGTCCCCATTACAAAAATTTACAAATGTTATTCTCAAAAAAATTCTTCCAGCAGGTTTAAGTCAAAAAAATAAACAGCTTCCCCTAAGCCTGCATCTGATCAGGAGCATTTTGCTTTAATTGGCAGCAGTTCTGGAACTCTCCAGGGTACATGCAAGACTTTTGGCAGACACTTGATTTTATAATTGAACCTAGTTTAACCAAAAAGTAAAAGCTCATTGGCTAGGAAATGGGACAAAAAGAGTCTAATCCCTAGAGAAAATAAGGGAGATGCTCAGCTCTACCCAGCTGCTGGAAACTCCAGCTATCATGTGCCGTTTGATAATTCCAAGTCAATAGCCTCCAGACTGATTAATGACTCCTCTAATAAGCAGTGAAATCTTTCCAAAAGAGTTCTTATTGTTCTGACAAGAGGAACCTTCTGAACCTAGGAATGCAATGGAGATATTTGCAATTTGTTCACTGGCCACCATGACACTTGTCTCAAGACAAGAGCGCAAGAACCCAGATTTCTGCAGGCAGAGTACGATTGCAAAGGTGGTTCTTGTTCAAAATGTTGAATGAACAGGCAACATCATGCTATGGTATTTTAAAGAAGAATCAGAGTCTTTCCTATTAAAAAGAGAAGGGAAGAACACAGTTGCTAAGTGATGAGGATAAAAGTAGATTGCACAGAAGATCCTCTGAGCCATAAGCCTCATCCAAAACTGACTGTAATCTTTGCAGTGACTTCTGCGGGACTTCAGGAAAACCTGTATAACTTAAATGAACCATTTAAATCTTCTGGCCTTTCTTCATGTAGTATTATGTACTGCTGAATGAAGACAGAAGACTGCTACAACACCACAGTCAGGGCAATTAGTGACAAGTTTCCTATACATCCCCCTTGCTCTCACAGAATACCAACCAAAAGGAGTATGTATTTGGGAAATTATTCAAACTGACAGCTGAACTGAAATCCTCAACATTTAGACTATGAAAGGATAGAGGCCAAGATCACAGCTTGAACAGGAGGAACAATAAATGAGTATTTCTGAGCTCTCATTCTCCCTGCAGGTTAGAGCATCAAATGGGAACTTACTTTCCTCATTAATCACTCCATGGATACTATCCAATAAAAAGGATATCTTGTTTTCTGCAGAGGATTAGAAAGGAAGATTTTGTATGACAGGTAAGGGGACTAAAATCCCAGGCCTGGCTGAGATACAAATGTGGTATACTGTCAAGAATATCCTCAGCTTGGAAACTGGAGGACTATTTCTAGCTTTGAAGAGACTGAGGTTGCAGATGAATTTGCAGAGAGTAACAGGGAAAAGGTGACCTCGGATGCAGTTTTAAAAGGATAAGATGAAAGACTGTCATTGAACTCTGAATAACTGGATTTTAAGAATGGGGGATGTCCCTTCAAATCCTGTTTTTAAATTGACAGTCTCAAGCAGAACAGATGTCAGCAGACCCACAGAGATTTCAAGTGCTTCTCTAATCAAGACACTGCTAAGCACTGAATGAAAAGCAAATCAAAGGGAGATACCAAGTCCAGCCTACTGGCATACTGGTGCAAATTGTCTTCAAACAGGATGCATGGCATTACTTGAGTTAGGACTAGACCACTGAGTGAGTAACTAGTCCATCCCAAGAGCAGGGCCCATAT